GGAGAGGTTGAGAAGTCCTCGCGTTGTTCGATGCAGAGAGAAGCTTAGAGAGGCTGGAGGGTTTTGGGGAAAGTACTGAAGTGACTGAGCTCTACAGGAACAAATATCGATTTATTTGTGTCCACTCATTGCAGCTACCGTCGCTTCTTTCTTTCTTTTTTCTTTTTCGCGCCTTTTTTGGAAGAAGGCCCAAATATATGAGCGAATCTCTCTTGCGGTTCTCTCTCTCTAACACCTATCACTGTAGCGCAAGACACGTCTTACTATTCATACAGACTCAAAATTACTATTCACCTTCTTTTGATTGGTTGGCTGCCTGTCGTGGGCCCTGATGTTGTCCAAAAGTAGTTGTTGGTTGCTTCGCCGCCAATTTCCAGCCTCTTTGTGCCTTCCTTTTTTTGTTTTAGGGTTTTCGAGTTTTGCGCCGGCCTCAAATCTAGTGTACTTTTCTCATCTGATCTTATTGGTGATGATGGCGAAGGTTTGGAAAGAGTGAAGGTCTTCAGGTGATAACACCCAACCAGGGTGTTTGATTTCAACCCGAACTTGAAACAAACAAACTCTGCAACTTGAACGAGAACCAAGCCGCCAATCGTCAATTTAATAGAACAACAATGGTGGAACTCTTGTGCAATCCTACACCTGGAGGAAGGCTCAAGGAGTATACGTCGAAGCTCGCCCACGATCAATGTGGATTTTGATCGATACAAGAGCAAAGTCGAACTTGGTTTTCTCGGCCAAGCTCTCAACCAAAAACTATAGCTACGAGACTTAGTTTTTAGGGTTTTCTCTTATTATCCAACTTAACTCTCTTACAATACGTTTGTAAACCTTAAATAGAGATTACAAGTATCCTGGGAAGTGAAAGAAACCGAACCCAACAAGGTAAGCCAAAATATTCCTAATTCTAATACAATACGGAAACTTAAAATGCAAGTAACAGGCTGATGTTGATACCAACTTTGAGACCCTCGTTCTCCATCCTCCCAACTCCAATTGGATCACCCAATACCTTGTTTCTGTACTAGAAAATGCGAACTTTCATGTGGAATAAACCTTGAAGCCCGATTCCCAGCCGTTTGTCGTGCCCTGAGCTTCAAAGTGGCCTTCTCGAAACTGTCCCATGCCTTAGGCAAAAACTGGCAGTTTGCCTGTGTTGGGATAGACTTTTGATGAGCCCGAAAACCACTCTTCCCAGCATCAAATCGAGCCTCCAGACACTCCACGTCGCAAAGGGAGTTACTATATTCAAAACAAACCTTCCGAACCCCATTTTCATCCATCCAATCGAGAGAAATATACTCGCAAAGAGAGCTACCCGAAACAGCTTCCACACTTAGCCAAAATCCCAGGTCTTTCCAGCAAGTTGAATTTGGTTCTTGTCTCAACAATTTCCACTTGTAAATTGATCCGTTTGGGATCATATCATCAGGTCCCAAGGGGTTCTCGGGTATTGCGATCCTTCACAGAGAAGTTGAGTGGCCTAGGAGAGAGGGTCAGAGGCAAATTAAAAACCTCTTTAGTATTTCACGCAAACCGTTTTCCTTCTCTCCCATCCCTTCTTTTCTCATCGGACTCTCATTTCTCTCTCTTAATTTGTGTGTTGCAGAGATGCTGGGCATTGGAATAAGATGTTATTGGAGTCTCTGGTGCTTAGGAGTCGTGGATGCAGTGCAATTTTTGGTGGTTGTTCTCTCTCAATCTTGCTCAGGACCAGAAAAGCACTATCATCATCGTTGGAGTTGTTAACCGATTCAAAAGCGGCAACAATAGCTCTTCTATGATGGTTGTGGTCTCTCTTCCCTTTGCTCTGGTGTTTCTTATCTCTTTGCCTCGGAGATGGACTGGGTTTGGTGTGATCAATGGGCGGATTTTACAGTAATGGGAAAGTTTTGTACGCTTAATGCGTGTTTCGTTCCTGCGTGACCTTCGTGTTTTGATTTTGGCTCTTTTTTTTGTTTTGCAGGTAGGGTTCTGGGTGGCCCGAGTTGTCGTGAGGATCCAGCTCACAGTTTTCTGCCTACGCCATCACTGCTTTGTGGATTCGGGTTTTGGTTTAAGGTGATTGTTGTAGCTCTTTAAACTGGGTTTGTTTTCTGTTTATGATTCGTTGTTTGATTCTCCCAAAACTTTTCTCCACTGAAAGCTCTAATCAAGTTGTTTCTCTCCCATTCTCACCTGCGAGCACTGGAATCGGAGAGGAGAGGAAATTCAAAAGATGGCTCAAGCCTTTCCAAAAAAAGGGAGTTGATCGGCGTGTAAGAAACTGCACTCCTCTCCTAAAAAAACCCAATGTCGGAGCAAGATGGGAGTGAGGTCCGCGTCATCGGCGGTAAGGTCAGCTCCGTAGTGGAAGATGAATGGATGCACGATGGCACGGATTCAGTGAGGAATGCCTCAACAGGTGACTCACTCTTTTCAGTTCATTCTCCCCAGTTAATTATCATATTCTTCTTTTCTCTGATCAATTGCTCTTGCTTGCTGTTTTTGCAGAGTATATCAGCGGTCTTGACTTTGAACTATCAAGGACACTAGACCGTAGCTGGAAAATTTGTGCTAAAACTGTTCTTTCTTACTCTCCTCTTTAGCTTCAAGCTTCAATTCTTTGTTTTATTTGCTCAATTTCTTACTGATGGGTTCGTTTTTTATTTGAGATCAGCTTCTGGTGTGCTGCTGTGGATTCATGCTGGGAGCTGTGATGTGAAGGTCCCAATAGGAACAAAGTTAATTGTAGGGTTCTAAGCAATGCTTTCAAGTAAGTCTTGAATCTTATTCCACTAGGCGTCAGAGTAGCAAGAATGTGTTAGTTGGTATTATGCAGGAAATGCATGTGGTAAAATGTGTTCTGCATTAGTATCCTGAATTTCTAAATGTTCCATAAAGACTTTTTCGTTGCTGATGTTCATCTTATTCTTGCTGCTGTTTTGTTCTCGATTGACATGTACCAGCTGTGTTGATCATCTATGTGAAACCTAGGTTCTACAATGCTCAATTTTTTTTATTTGCTCGATAATCTTGGTTCTATTTTCTTTGAGATCATTGTTTTGGTGTTGAGAAGGGACAAATGGCAATAAATTAGTTTATGTTGTGTTGCCGTGAAATAATAGCAAGAGTTGTGGTGTGAAGGGACAAATGACAATAAATTGGTTTTGTGTTTCGAAGATAATATCATATAAGTTTTGAATTTTCCCCCCTAGGACAGGGTATCTAATTTTGCTGTGCTAATCTACATTAACGGAATTGGTTCAGATTAGGATTGAGAGGACCTAACCCAACTGTAATTAAAATGGAAGTGAACATGGCAAACTTTTAGTAGGCTCAAAGTGGTCCACTGCATGTTAGTATAATATAATGTTGTATCCGCTAACCTGTACTTTACTTCAATAAGTGTGCGATTTCTGATTGTCCCATCTAGACAATTCTTTGCTTCTCATCATCTTATGTTTGCTATGAATCTGCTTTGCTTTCGTTGTCCAAATTTGTGCTTCAGACTCATTTATTGTATTGTTCTCTATATAGCATTGTAGCTACTTCTATCGTGTTATAGCTTACAAATTTATTTGTCATCTTGTGTGCAGATGGTGTGCTTGTCTCATGTGTCAATGTGTAGACTGGTGCTCAGAGATATGTTGTGTTGCAAACTTGCAATGTAATATAGGTGTCCCAGTGTCTGTAATGTCATCCATAGTGTGCATTTCCCTTATATATTGTTGGGTTACAAGTGCTTATATATTTATGGTAAATGATTATTATATAATAATCATACTATCATTCTGGGTATGTTTTTGGATTGATATGATCCAATGTTCATTACCTGAATAGTTCTTTTGCCCGTGTGTGTCAGTGGTATATGGTGGTGTTTAATAACTATCATTTTTATTGCTCAACTTTCCGTGTGCTTATCATCATTTGGTGAAACTACCGAATGAATGTTATAATTGTTGCTAATTAGTGTCAAACTCCCAAAATGCAAATCAATCTTTTTCAGCCTTCCTTTATACCTCTGAATTTGTACTGGAAATTGCTACCTCTAAGAGTAAGGTACTCTTTTTCAAACCACTGACAAATGTTTGTGAAAGTCCTTATAAATGTGAATTCTAATTCAACAAAGTATGATCATATGTTAAAACTGTTCCCGCAGCGGAGCGCGGGTTGATAACTAGTATCATCTAAAGTTCTATGCAAACTGAAAATTTTCAAATAGACTTTCGTTTCAAAAACATGTAACAAATCAAACGGTAAGAGGTCATCGCCCAAAAAACGACCGACCCCGTGTAGAAGCGGCAGCCTTCACCGCCAGTACTGAAGATCGCGACAAACCTGGCCCCTTTGAACAGAAGTCTGCACATGTACATTTTTTTTATCGTGTAATGACTAATTGAGTTAAACATGATGGCGCAAGTCCCTATTTAAACCATCCAGGGATTGCTTAGCTACTGTGATGTAAATGGTGCTGGGCCCTAGCTAGCACACATCACATGTAATGCTACCAAATTCCCAGAGCCCATCACTTGTGGGCTTGTGGGCCTGTGTGGCTTCCACCCCTTATGTTCATTCCTTTTTCCCACCGACGCCTTGAATATAGCCGTTGGGGACTTAATGGCGTTCTCTCCCCACTTCCCCCAAACCCAATTCTCACTGGTTGATTACTTCAGAGTGACTTAATTAATTAAGGAAGTTGCTTGCATTAAGAAGAATGTCGTGATTAGAAACAAGGATCATACGGAAGTTGATTTCGAGGTTTGGTTATAGGCCGTGAAGAGTTGGATTGATTAGCGAGAAAACAGGGTTTGATTGACAAGCGGGTGGTGGGTTAGAGTGCACATGAAACTATCATTAAAATGCACCCCAGCAGCTCAACAACCCTCCAACATCATTTCACATGCAACCCAACCCAACTCAACTCACCACCATCATTATCATCAATCATTAACACCCAGCAGAGCAAAGTCATAAAGCGTAAAAAGTAAAAAATAATGATGAAAAGGTAAATAAGGAGAAATGATCACTGCACTGGAGGACAGATATAATTGAGTACTGTTTCTCTGTAAAATGTCTCCCCTGCCGGGTTGCTCCAGTTACAAGATTGCTTAAATTAAACTCCCCTTTCGTTACCAACATGATCATGAACACACATAATTTCGAGACAAATCACTATATAATATATTGCTTTCGTGTTAATTAGTAAGTAAACTGAGCTGACAATGGAAAAGCCCATGCAAACATCCCAAAACTTACGCTGACGAGTAAATAAATCCTTCCTATACGAGGATGGGGAAAGGGACACACAGCTAGAACTAGAAAGAATAAGATGGTGGTTGATGTTTACTTCTCAACAGGAGTCACAATTGAAGGGAGAGAAGGAGAGCAGAATGACAGGCACCGACGCATCAAACGACTGACGACGACACAATCACATGGATGGATGGATAGACAGACAGGCAGACTTTGTTAGAAATGAAGAAGAAACACACTCCCGTCCCGTCCCACGTTTAATTGTGACGGATCGGGGTGGACTGGACATACAGATCCGAACCACCAACGCTTCCGCGCCTGCTTCTATTACTAGTATATATAGCACTTGTGCCTTGGTTTCTGGTTTTTCCGTTGAAACAGCAGGCCGATCGAGGTTGACACCAAACAAGAAAAGATACACACTAAGCAATTCAATGGTGGAATGGAATGGAATGGAAGGGAGAGACAAGACAGGAAGGACAGCAACGTACGTATATAGTGACAATGTGCAAAAAATGTACACTTTGTCAGTAACAGTAATGGTGGGCGGGGAGGACGAGGGCTACAGCTGTGGTCCGAGGTTTTGCAGAGATGGGGACTTGAATGGAAGAAGACGACGCCAAGAAACAATGACAGGCAGTGGATTCATTGCAAGAAAATGGGCAAATTAAAAATTTCAAGTGCTTTTGCTTAATTGCTATATGGTGAATTGGTGATGAGGAGAGGAGTTGCCCAATTTTTGGGCAAAATTAAAAAATGGTGGGAAGGGAAAGGAGAGGATCGGAGGGTGTACTAGTACTACTAGCTTATAATAATAATAATAATAATAATAATAATATAAGCTTAGGTAGGCGCTAGCACTGGCGGCCCCGACGACAGCCAAGGGCACCGGCGTTGGAAGTAATGGATCCGACCATGGAAGAAGACTTGGCACCCAAGCTAGAAGCACGAGCGTAGCTTGCAGAAGCCCCTGCTCCGGACGGCGTGAAGTAAGCTCCGTTGAGCAGCAGGTCTCCCTCCGACCTCCAGTTCCAGCCCTTCCACACGCCCGCCGCCGTATCCACCCTCTTGGTCACCTCCTTGGCGAAGCGGTTGATGGGGGCGTTGTATCTGTTACCCTGGCTGTTAATGGTGGGGTTGGCACTCCCTCCGATCGCGTACATCTCCCAGTGGGTGTAGTCATTGTTCACCACATGGAAGTACCCATGTCTACATCTGCACAAGATAAAAGATACAATTAATTCTCTAGTTACCCACAACAAAAAAACTTAAATGGAACAAGTTGCGTGGGGGCCAAGCCAAGCCAAGCCAAGCAAGAGACTGGTAAGTTTGGAAAGAGGGAAATAAATGTTCACCTTGGCATCCTCTGGATGAGTCCCTCTCCGAAATGGTTGTAAGCGATGGTCACTTGCATTTGCTTGTCCCTTGTGTAAGAGTCACTATGCCCCAGCAGCATCACCTGCATCATTCATTTTGCACATCACTAATCAATACTATCCACCGCACGCACCGCAGGCAAACCAAAACACAAACCCCTTCCCTCACCTCGTTATGGTGGGTCATGTGGTTGTTGGAGATGGTAATGGCGGTCGAGCCCATCACCGCATCAACCAGCCCATCAGCACAGTGAGAGAGCGAGTTGTGATCCACCCAAATGTGGCTAGACCCGAAGATGGAGATGGCATCTCCGTCAGCCATGGTTCTCCATCCAAAGTGTGTCTCCGAGCTCCTCACCATGGCGTTCCCTGTGGGCTTGCAGTCATGGATGTGGAGGCCGTGGATGATCACATTCGTCACGAACTGGATGGTAATGCACCCTCCATTGGCGATGTGGACATTGGCACCACGCCCGTCGATCGTCTTGAAGCTGTTCATGATCAGTTCTTGCTTCAGTTGGATTACCATGTCCCTCTTGAAAACAATCCACAGCGGCCTGTCCTGGATCACAGCGTGGCGCAGGGTCCCCGGTCTTGGGTTCACAGGGTCGTCGTCTCTGGGATCGGTCACCAAGTAGAACCGCCCATCACGCCCGCCAATGGCATTCCTCCCGAACCCAATCCCACAATCAGCAAGCCTCTTGCGGTTCTTCTGCCAGTGTGGGTCACAGCGCCAGCAATCATCGATGGGGTTGCCCGTTCCACAAGAGAAATACCCTAGTTTCCTCCTTTCAGTGTTGTTGTGGATGCTCCTGCAATGCAAGTAAGTGGTAATCAAGACAGCCAGGGGACCAAACTCAGTTCAATCCAATCCAATCCAATCCAGTTAGATATATGTATGTACTAGTCATCATCGCCACACAAAATCAACCCAAGTTCAATCCAGTCAGTTAGGATGGATCAATAGTCAGTCAACAGTTAAAACACAAAGCAATAAATTAGATCACATTCCTTATCCACTTTCTAAGTGTGTGGTACGTACTGGTAAACACACTCTGTTATGCTTTGTGGATGAATTATTATTGCTGGCTACCAAACCAAACCAAACCAAACCAATTAGTGTATACACAAGGACATGGTGTGTATGTGTCGGTGGTGGAGGGTACTACTCGGACTAAATTAGCTTAGCCTTTTTTTCCTTTTCTTTTCTGCTATCCAATCCAACCCTATCTTCCTTTTAGCTCAACTTCCACAACAAGAGCAGCAAGAGAAAATAATGCAATTACCATATGGAAACAAACAGATTGGCAGTATCTGAGTGAGAAGTAAGGACCATTACCAGCTAGCTATGCCATTGCCAATATATGGTTTTTAGTACACAAAGCCAAAAACAGGGTATGTTTACGTTACTTTTGTCCGGGTATCAATAAAATAAGCGTAGCCGAATGAAAATGTCATAATCAAGGTAACGTTAAAAACTCTTTTCTCTTTTCACCCTAAGCAAGCATGTTCAGTGATGAACCCACCCACGCTCAGTTCTCCCCGTTCCAACCCCCCAAACTGAGCCAATAAATTAGAGGACATAAATTACTACTGGACAGAACATGTCAGCAGGGAGAAAATTATCCAATCAGATATTCTGGATATAAAGATACATGCGATGCGAGAAACAGATAGACTAGGCAACAAAAGCATATCTCACCTCACGCTGCCACCAGGTCGAGTGGCAGGTAAGAGAGATAAACAGCGTGAAGAAAAAGTTGCAATCAGCTAATAAAATAAAATAAAATAAAAAATTAACAAAAAAGATGAGGGAGTGCAGCAGCCGAGGAACGTGGTTTCTGATATTTTCTTGCCACATTGGTAAAGTGGGGGAGTTTCACCAAAAAGACCAATCCAGCAATGGAAGCAAAAGAGAGCCAGCCAAGAACCCTGAAACCCCCTCATCAATTCAATTCCCCCCCTAATCGCACAATTTTCAGATGTACAGTAATAGAAGCAAGCAAGCAATGCTCAGCCAGAGATTGAAAATTCGATGGTAGAAAGGATCGATAAATGGGTGAATTGCAAGAAACAGAGTGAGTAAGAGAAACAAACGTACATTTCCACCATTGAAACCACCTCTTCTGGGTCCTGAACAGCATGCTCATTGACATTGTTCCCGGGTGCATCATTAACCGCTTCTTCTCCGGTGCTGTCAAAAAGCAGGAAGAGGAGGACTATGTAAGGGAAAAGGAGTACTGAATACCACAATCGAAATGAAAAGCAAAAGCTACATCAGTAAAAAGGTAAAACAGCATGCATCATTCAGTCGTCTACCGTAGGTGGACACGTGTCACCGACCACTTGAGAGGAGTAGGGACAGTAAAAAGTTGAAGCGGCCATAGGCGGAAGTGACAGAAGAAGAGTGAGGGAAGGGAAGGGTGTCCGTTTGGGATATTGTGCCTTCATTTCCTGCTTGCTTAACCTACACAGCCACTATCCTCACATGGCCGTCGCTCTATCCTAAACTAAAACCGTTTAAAGGCGTTTTCTTCTAATTCGCGGGTATAATTTATTTATTTATTTATTGCTAAACTACACCTGCGATTAATAAATGATCATGAATTTACCCTGGAATTCTTGAAATGGAATTTAAGGTGAATTTAAGTCGGTTGGGGGTAAGAAGACTGAAAAGGCTACTGCGAGAGAGCGGCGAGGAAAAAAGGAAAAGAAGGTTCCGCTTCTCACCTTCCGCAACTAAGGAATCCAAGAAAACGAACCGTAACTGAATAAACGATCCAGATCTAAGATCCAGAGTAATCAACGGCACAGATTCTACGATGCGGTTATCGGCCGGACACCCAACATTAATGCAGCAAAGCAAACCCCCATCTAACGGTCCGGGAAAGCACAATGCGCACAGACTAACGGATCAGATCAAACGGAAGTAAAGGAGGGAGGGAGGATTCATAAATGAATTCCAGCTACTTTAGCAGCGAGTGTTTTTTTTTTTTTTTTTGGGTTTAATTAATTACCTAGCCGCCATGGAAGAGTTGCTCGAGCTCTGCAACGCCTCAGTTTCCACATTCCTGTACAGAGGAAGAAGAAGAAGAAGAAGAAAGAATAAAAAACAAAAAATAAATATACAGAGTCGAGTCTAGTACGAATCAGCTCAGGGTCGGGGTAGCTCAACAGTGTCGGTGCAGTTAAGGCTATTACATTCCAGCTCTCACTTTCTGTTCCTATTTACGGAAGACCAACACAGGAAAGGGCAAGTAAATGAAGAGGAAAGGCAAGTGTTGGGAGGCCTTGTAAGAGAAACCGCCATTAATGCAGGCGGTTAACAGAATTAATTGAGATTCGGTGAAATCCTCATTCTCCATAGCTCTGTTCGTTCGATCCCAGACACTATTGTAAAGAGGTCCGGAATGCAGTTCAAATTCCACAAAGAAACAGTCCAAACATTCTCTAAAGACCAAGATTCGCTTCACAATGCGTCAGTTCAATACCTGGTTGTGGAACCTTGAGAAAATGACCAACTATACCACATTCTCAGCTAGGAATTTGTGCGTATCGTAGCTAGAAACTGTACTTACTGGACGGAAAACAAAACTGAAGAGCAGAAGCAAACTGAACTAGCTGGGAATTTCGAAAACTAGGACGAGAAAACAGAGTAGAACAGAGCAACAGAGCTCGCTCAATTAAGTCGTAAGAAAAGGGGGGGAAACTACAAACACGAGTGTAGAGTGCGAATTGGGGTAATGTAGGAGACGATTAGCTAGTAGAGAGAGCAGAATTCAACGGAGATTGAAAATGCATATCGGCGTACCGAGTCAGAGCAAGACCGGAGATCCCGCCATTCCGAGCAGTGGCCGAAACTCCGACGACCATCACCACGACCAGCACCGTGCACAGGGCGAACCATCTCAACGCCTCCGCCATTGCTCTCTCTCTCTCTCTCTCGCTCTCGATCTCTCTGTGTGGAAATCCCGGCGACAATTGCAGAGAAGGAGGAGACAGCAGACAGAGGTGGGAAAAGGAGAAAGCAGAGTGTGGAGTCAGAAGAGAGCTGCAACAAAACGACCTTTTTTATAGACTGCCTCCCATTGGAAGGGGACAGGTTACGGTGATTACTACAAAGTAGTAATCACCGTGGTTACTAAGGGTAAATTGGGTATGGAAAAATAAATTATATTAATTAATTTTTTAATAAATTACATTTAAGGTAGTTACAAAAATCTATTAATTAAAATTCTCTCTTTCTCTCACTTCCGTAATCTCCAGCGAGATTTCCTTTCCATATTTTTCTCAATCTTTCTGCCAAAAAAAAAAACGAAATCAGTACCAATCCATTAGACAAACACTACCACTTTGAAAAATATTAATACCATTGCAGAAATAAATCTATACCATTACACGAAAACTACCATTGCATAAATAAATTTATACCATTACACGAAAACTACCATTCAAGAAATAAAAACACTACCATTTCATAAAACATCAATACCATTCAAGAAAGAAAAACACTACCATTTCACAAAACATCAATACCATTGCAGATTTAATCACTACCAATGCGACAAAATCAATACCATTGCAACAAAATCAATACCAATATGATAAAAATAATACCATTACGACAAAAATAATACCAATGCGACAAAATCAATATCAAAACAAAGCAATACCAAAAAAATATACCAATCCCCAAAAATACATACCAATCCCCAACTTGCACAAGCACGGAAGGTTGGCAGGAGAAAATATAGAGAGAGAGAGGGGATCAGGAGGTTTGGAGAGAGAGGGAGGGGGAAGGCTGGCCTAGGCCGGCATCACCATCTAACACCTCCACCGCCATCAGAGAGAGAGAGAGAGAGAGAGAGAGACCGCAAAGGTGGGCGAGGGTCGCCGGAGGGTGGGCGGCTGCCGGCAGTGGGAGGGCCGCAGGATAGGTGTTGACGAAGATATAAAATAGGGTTGGAGTAGGTTTAGGTATAATATATAGAATTAATTTTTTAAAGGATAGAAATCAGGTGTGGTATTTTTTTTATTCTCAAAATTACCCTTAATCTAATCTTCATCGTCAATTTAAAATTAGAGTAAAATATAGATAATTAAGGGTCTAGATTTTAGTAGCCACGGTGATTACTCAATTTTGAGTAATCATCCTAACGCGTTCCCATTGGAAGAGTAGGGGAAAAGGACAAAAACCGTAAACGTTTGCAGTTGACGCCGTTAAACGTTAACGTTTCGTGAAATTCCCACTCCGTTTCTCAGCCGTTTGCCCTGGTTAAGTGGTTGGTTAGGTCTCATTTGTATTATTAGGTTTATCTAACCGACCTAACCCAACCCCACCCCACCCCACCGGGTAACTAACCCCTTATTACAATTGTTCGTTAACTACTCTAGTTTACGGGAGCCGTTGGCCGTTGCCACCGATTCCGCACGTGTGAGCAGTGACCGCCGTTGCCATCTTCTCACGTGCCGGGGTAATTCCTGTCTTCTTTTCATATGATAGCGGATAAGAATAGAGATTATTACCACGGGACGGAGCAATGTAACTAACTGAAAATAACGATTTAACCGCATGAGCGCCACGTCAGCAAGACGGTTACGGTGGGATTGGGACCCATTCTTCTCCCTCCAAGTACGGAAGCAGGAGGTCACAGTTTCCTGCTGATTTTGCGGCAAGGTAACCTCACCAAAACTCAACTGCGTGCATAATTAGTGAAGTTCATTCTCCCCGTAAGAATCAATTAATTATGGCCTGGGTTCCGATTAGGGCGGCAAATGAGCCGAGTCGAGTCGAGTTTTACCCCAGTTTGAGCTCGGCTCGTTAATAAACGAGTCGAGTCGAGCTCGAGCTAGCTTGTTTATTAAAATCTTAACTTTTATTTGGTACTTCATTTTGTATATCATGATATATATGATTTATTTTGTTAGTTAATCTCATCTTATACTTTATATTTTGTTTGTATCACATATCGTTTAGTTAATAAATCTTAACTACTCCAAATCATATTATTTCATTGTATCGAAGCAATCTATGATGCATAATTTCTTTTTAAAGTAGAAAATAAGATATATTTGCTCACATACTCAACGTGCAAAATTTTATATATGGTGAGAATGTGAGATATATAAATTAACAACCATATGAATTAAAATCATAAGATATAGATTGATTCGTTCATAAGTTGGTAATCGAGTTGGCTCTCTAGCCACATGTTAAGACATATCATGAGCTCTAAACGAGTCAGCTCACGAGTTTAGCTCAACAAGCCACCGAGTCGAGCTAGCTTGCGAGCTTCACGAGCTGAATAATAAACGAGCCGAACACGAGCTTTTCTCGAGTCGAACGCCGAGCCGCTCGCGAGCAGCTCGGCTCATTTGCAGCCCTAGTTCCGATACAAAACCCGTACGATGATACGATCGGGTTTTGCAGACTGGAGTTTTATACCATATTCGCTCCCATTAATCATTATTAATCTCCCGTTATCTAAGTTAATATTATGGCTTGTGAAGGCAAAGTTATATCAGACAAGTTGGCGAAATGATAGTCAGTGGTATAATCGTGATTTGAACGATAACATGTTAATCTTAATATATGATTATACATTATGTCAACCGAAAATTTTCGTATATTATGAATTCACAATTTAATCACATTGTACTAGCATGTACAGACTTGTATATACGTGTACCGTAACAATCTAACTAACTTTAAGTGTTTTTTGTGGTTTGATTGTCGATACTCGATACAGTATCGCAAAGACACAAAGTATGAGAATTATAAGTCGGTCTCATTAATAATTACAAGGTTTACAAATTATTTGCTAATTCTTCGTTAACCACCAATATTACTTGCACTCAGAAATTCAGATCGTACATTAAACATGCGGTAGCTAACTAGCTATTACTTATTAGTAAATTACCATGATGTTGTGTTTTTGCTCTTTTTTAATTATTGCATTTATTCATCGGTTGGTGCTAATTCTGGTTTTATGTTGTTTTATCTTTTCTGTTGGGGGCGGCAATCACGACCATTTGAAAGAGTTTGACCCTTGGCGGGCAGACAAGCTTCAACCTCTGAGAAGTAAAGAGGAACGAGGGGAAGAACAAAACCGTCGAAAAAGCCACAATTAAAAAGTTGCAATCATGTTCGTTCGTTCTCTTCGTCTTTTTCCCTTTTCTTCCAATTCTATTGCTTGTTGCTTTTCTTCCATTCCATTACTCCTCTGTTTCATTGTCGTCTTAAAAGAAAGAAAGAAATAAATAAAGGAAAATATAAATGGAAGGACTTTTGTTCAAAGTTTTACCAAACAGAAGACCCTAAACATGTTCAAACAGACCTAATCATATGCGAAGATAGCGTATTGTTCTTCATTTTCTCCCTACCTCTTTCCTCTTCATCGAATTCAGCCTGCTTGTATTGTCATTTGGATTAGAGACATTTTCAAGCTTTTGAAAAATCAGTAAATAAGGGTATTCAGTAAGTCATACACTGGTTTGCAATGAATCATCGTAGAGTTTCATTGTTGATTTCTACTAGAAGACTTGACCTATGACTGGAGAGGAAGGCTTTTTGTATTAAGTGCATTGGGGATTCCTTTTCAGTTTTCATGGCAATGTCCACAATGACATTTGCGTTCATTGGTTGGATTCAAATGTGTGTACAAACAACTCACTTGATTGGGAGAAATGAAACCCTAGAAGTCTTGTGTGTTTCTCATTCATAGTTGGGTTTAAATACACAAACTTGGTACTACAAGACAAATCGTATCAGCTTGCTTTTGGAGAACAATCAACATAAAAAAATATAACAACTCATACTAAAGTCTAAACATTGACAATAAACTAAACTCGATGATGATAGTTTCCTCTAAACCTTGTCGATCCACTTTGACATTCATGGTCGCCGGTTTGAGTCTTGACGATCTTTCAATATCTCATGTTAGCTTCTTGTCGGCTCAAAAGGGTTTGTGGCAAGGTGGCCCTTTATCACACTATCTCTTCATAATAGCCACTGTAACATAGATATTGTTTGCTCGTCGCAATTCAACTGCAACTTTCTAGAGTCTCACATACTGTCGTAATATAAGAATGTCAATCTTTCTTGTCTATGGTTCACGAATTATTATCTTTACTATAAGCTCAATGCATTTTATCGGTCGACCAGTACTGCCTATTCTCTTCTCAGTAGCATAGGGATTTATATTGGGACATCATATCATGCCAAGTGTTTCTCCATAAAAAAATAACTCGTACCACTTTGACTAATAATAATATATTTAATTGATTTATATGGCCAGCTTAATATTAGATATTAAATGAGCTAACTAGATATTATTGGGTTGGATTTTTGGGCCTAAGTGTCAAATTCCCTCTTCCTGATATAGTGGTTGACCGCCCTCGTGGCCTTTATAACCGATATCACCTCCTCATTGTAACAAGACATTTGGTATGAAATATAGATCTAGACAAACAATTAAGTAACCGGACAAACTTGGTAGTTAGGCAACAGGGTAGCGAACCGGAAGAGCATGCTTGGTAGGCAGCCAAGAGGTTACCAAGACGAAAATACATACTTGTTAGCAAGATATGAAATTTAACTAAGTATGGAGTCTTAGTGTGTAAAGGGGCTAAGTTCCCATCCCATCAAGATGGGTAACAAGGCCTAGCTAATAGACGAGTATAGAAAGCCGAAGAGGCGAGCTAGGTAATGAGACAAAGATGGTACTAAGTCAACATCGAAGGAACTAAGTATGGAATCATCAGGGTTATTATGGTTGCTAAGGAGACCCGATAGGAGGCACTACAAAAAAGAGAATTATAGGGGACCATTATTGGGAACGACTTTTTAATGTTGTCTCAGCAAATAGGGTTTTTGAGTTTTATTAGGGACAAGCAAACTAAATTGTCTCCATAGAATTAAAAATGTAATTTTCTTAATTTATTTAGTAAGTTAAGTCGTCCCCAAAAAGAAAATCTCCAGGAGGCAGCAGAAATATTAATTGGGGGCGAACTTTTAGTCTCTGACGGATTATGGGGGATTCTTTTTTTGT